GCTCACGAATGGTAGTGACCCGCAAGCACAACGGCGAGCCCCGCCGAACCATCAACTTCCAGGCCCTCAACGAGGCCAGCATCCGTCAGACGCATCCCACAATGCCCCCTTTCCAAAAAGCCATGGCCGTGCCCGCGGATCAGTGGAAAACCACTACAGATGCCTTCAACGGCTACCACTCCGTCGCCATTCGCGAATCGGACCGCCACCTCACGACCTTTCTGACACCATGGGGCAGGTACCGCTACAAAACCGTCCCTCAAGGGTACAAGGTCTCCGGAGATGCCTACACTCACCGATTCGATCGGGTCACACTGAATGTGAAGTCTTGTGACAGGGTCATCGATGACTCCATCCTGTACCAGCCCACGATTCGATGCATGTTCCAACATGCGGCGGAGTATCTGACGCTCTGTGGCCGAAACGGCATCCTCCAGAACCGCGACAAGTTCGTGTTCTGTGAAAAGACCGTGGACTGGGCCGGCTTTCGTCTGGGCCCTGACGGCGTCCGACCGTTGCCGTCCCACACGGAGGCTATTCGGTCGTTTCCGACGCCGACCTCGGTGACCGACCTTCGATCATTCATGGCTCTGGTCAATCAAGTGTCGGCTTTCTATGCCACCCAGCCTAAACTCCTCCCCTTCCGCGCCCTCCTTAAGAAGGACTGTCCTTGGTACTGGGACGAGACTCTGGACCAGCTGTTCCGAAACACCAGGGAGGTCATCGCTCGGGAGGTGGAGAAGGGAATCCAGTCGTTTGACCGCGCCAAGCCCACGTGCATCCTCACGGACTGGTGTAAAACAGGACTCGGGTACGTCCTCCTTCAAAAACACTGTACCTGCACCGAACTCAAGCCGACCTGCTGCCCCGCTGGGTGGCGTGTGTGTGGCGTCGGGTCTCGGTTCACCTCTAGCGCCGAGAGTCGCTATTCCCCAACAGAGGGCGAGGCATTGAGCGTCACCAATGCCCTCGAAAAAACTAAATACTTTACACTCGGCTGTGACCAACTGGTGGTGGGAACCGACCACAAACCTCTCCTGGGTATTTTCGGCGACCGTTCCCTGGACGGCATAGACAATCCTAGGCTGAGACGCCTAAAAGAGAAAAGCTTCGGCTGGTCCTTCTCTCTGGTCCACGTCCCGGGTCGCCTCCATGGAGGCCCCGACGCTCTCTCGAGGTATGGTGTGAGGGAACAGCGCGAGGGGTCCGATGACAGCTTTGTCGAGTCACAGATCGACGAGCTGTTTGTGGTCGATGAGGGCTACTCTTTCCATCACCTATTCTCTCTAATGGCACGCCCGCAGGATCCAGGTGATGAAGACGACTCCGACATTCTGTGCTCGGTGTCGCCAGCACTGCAACCGATCGACTGGCCCACCCTGTCTCGGGCGTCGGAACAAGACCCCATCATCCGCCAGGCAGTTCAAATGGCGAACACGTCATTCCCTGCGTGTCCGGATGGTTTCCCTCATCCACTCCGCGCTCTTTGGCGCATCCGGCACGACCTCAGCACGTCGGGGCCCGTCCTTCTCTTCCACGGCCGACCTGTCATCCCGAGGCTCTCAGGTCCCGTGTCCTAGACACCCTCCATGCCGCGCACCAGGGAGTGACTGGCATGAGGCTACGCGCGGAACGCTCCGTGTTTTGGCCCCACATGTCCCAGGACATTGAAGCGGTCCGGCAACGCTGCGCGGCTTGCAACAGACATGCGCCATCACAGGCCGACATGCCGCCTATCCCACCAGCCACGCCGGAATATCCATTCCAACACGTGGCTGCCGATTACTTCACGTACATGGGGAACACATACGGGGTCGTTGTTGACCGATTCAGCAATTGGTTTCAGATCTGGCGCGGCATCAGCCTAAAAGGCGTCCTCATGGAACTCTGCCGCGGTCTGGGGGTCCCCGAAACACTCACAAGTGATGGTGGGCCTCAGTTCATGGCCCAAGAGGTAAATGATTTCCTCGTTCAGCACGGGATCCACCACCGCCTCACATCGGTCGCTTTTCCTCACGCGAACTGCCGTGCTGAGGTCGCTGTGAAAACGGCCAAACGCCTCATACGGGACAACGTCACTGCTGATGGGTCCCTCGACTCTGTGAAACTCACTCGCGCACTCTTGCAGCACCGCAACACCCCTGACAGAGACACCGGCTTGTCCCCAGCTGAGCTAGTCCTCGGGAGACAGTTGCGGGACTTCCTCCCAGGGCTACCGCTGCAGCCCCCCCTACGTAACCACAAGGATCTCAGCCAGACGTGGCAAGATGTCGCATGCTGGAGGGAGAAAGCACTAGCCAAGCGCACCTCTCGTGACCATGAGCGTCTGCAAGCACACACTAAGGACCTGCCTCCACTAAAAGCTGGCCAGCATGTGCTGGTTCAAAATCAGTCGGGCAACCACCCTCGAAACTGGGACCGCCGTGGAGTGGTGGTGGCCGCATTGCCGTTTCGGCAATACCAGATCATGCTCGACGGATCACGACGGATGACCCTACGCAATCGGAAGTTCTTGCGCTCGTTTGTACCCCTCGCGCACACGACACCTACTGTCCCTCTTCCCGCGCCCAGGCCCCACCCCGCCGATCACGGTCTGCACCACCCACAGCTGCGACCTGGCACTGCTCAGTCTTCGCTGACTGGCACACCACCGTCCCAGACCGACGAGGCTGAGTCACTTCCGCCCCCCGCGCAGGGCCCCAGTCCAGAGCCAGATCCTGCAAACGCCGCCTCATCGCCCTCGGCGACCCCTCCAGCTGTGGCCCTTGAATCAGGGACGCACTCCCCTGACCGACAGCCTACTGCTATACCGGTGTGTCTCCCGAATCACTGTCACCCGTGCTCGCGTTCCCTAACCACCCCTCGCTCAGACCGGGAGCTGCCACCGTCCTCTCGGGGTCGCCGACGGTTCGCACGTGATGTTCTCGATCTGTAGTATCTCTGCGCCACCTATGTGCTGCTTACCGACTACTAGCGCCCAGTGATGCACAACATGTACCCGACAAGCGCCCGGTGTGCGCACTCGTGTGTTCGTCGTCACTGCGTGTGTTTTACGAGTCATGTGCGCACTCGTGTGTTCGTCGTAACTGCGTGTGCTTTACGAGTCATCCAGTGTTTCTTTCACATGCGTTCCAGACCTTCCTGTAATGCAGATTATGCCATGTCTCTTTTGACCATCATGTTGCTTACTGGGGAAGTTACCACGTTCATTTTCATTTTTAGCTTCCGCAACAAGATCTCGTGCCTGCGTTTCGCATCCACTCGTTTCCGTGGGGGCATACCTGAGCATGACCGTATGTACCTACTGTGCACTCAACATAATGGTCTGTTCGTTTATTGCAGAGAGTTGCCTCATTCAATGAACAATAAACTCGAATGTTTGAAATGCTTATCCAGCTAATTTTTAAATGTTGTGAAAAAATAAACAGATACCTAGATGAAACAAAATAGGCAATGGTTACAAATGTGAAACAAATCACACAGAACCAGATACATCGAAAATAATTGCCATGTAAAACCAGAATCTAGAACCAATACAGATTACTTGAATATTTACAGCACAAATGAAATTAAAATGCCATCCCATTCACAATACACAACTGCAACAGAAACAAAATGAAAAGGATCAGGATGGGCTGGATAGTGGATTGGGATGGACCTGACCTGTGTATAACTTTCAGTGGACTTCCTGGAGGTTTGAGGTAAGTTGGGGCACTTGTAGGCAACAATGCAACTAGTGAAGGGCTAACGACCTGCACCGTGCACCATGCAACAAATTGCAGGCACATTTTACAACCCACCCGACTCCTTTACGAACTCGAAGGAAAGTGTCGTGCCGGTGGTGCCGGTATTCAAAGAAGGTAAAATTCGACCATCAAGGGTTCTTTGGTATGTTACGTTGTACCTACCATATGTTCTACTAGCTTTTACCACTAGACTAGTGGTAAAATGACATCTTATACCAAGTCGAAAATATTTTTTACTAAGACCGAAGGCAAATTTCTTTTGAATAATATTTCATGTGAGTATTTAGCTATTTTTGGCTTTTTGGAAAACTATCCAAAATTTATTTTGGAGTATTGAGAAGAAAAATATATTTGTTGATACACATCTAGAAGTGAAAGCTAGACTCCTTACGAATATCCTAGCTTACTATAAGTTAAACAGACTCCCACCAGGGGGCTCCCACGTCGCGTGAGTGGTGCCCAAGAGGTGGTGCCGTTGACCCCAGCTCTCCGGTTAGGTGTTTTGCGTGGATTACGCCTTGTTATCCTCGGTCAGTCTCGGCGGAGGTCGGATTGGCATTCCTAGACCTGTACTGAGCCTGGAGATTGGTTTATGATAGTTAGGCAGCATGCGTTCCCAGTTTGCGGACACCATGCAGTACCTCATCACTGTCCCTGCAGGTGTCGCCCCTAGAAAAGTAACAGACAACAATCGTCTTCCTGTCCCAATGTTATGTCTTGCCATTAACCCAGCTGACCGACGCCAGATGCCCAACTCCACTCTCCAAACCAGGAATCTGAGCTCTCCCCGTCATGTCTCAAGAACCTACATCTCGTATCACGCCCACCGGTATACGATAGGACCTCACTCTCCGACGAGGTACGGTGGTACGGGCCTATGCCCTATATACTCTGGTACTGACCCACACCCCCTCCCGGAGTTCGCATAAGGTATCGAGACCGACTACCGACTTCATTATCCGACCGGAATAATCGTCACCTCATTTAAGTTTTCTAGACTGACTAGCGCCTGACCCGTGGTCTGTACCACCCTCCAGCTAACCTGTCTTCCCAGTTCATGCGGGAGTTCGTGCTTTGCCACGCCATTATGACACCGGATGAAACGTTACCACGCAACATCAGGCCAAGGCGGACGCTGTCTTCACTATGGCGTGCCGCAGCGCCAAAGACCACGCATATCGCCTCTGCACATCGTGGCAAGGGGCGCTGCTCTCGAACTAAGCACTGAAGTCACCTCATGAAGTAAAAAGCAAAGTATTGTGGAGTTTGTATTTTCATCGACATACCACACTAGCTACTACACTTCATTGGTTTCAATTCACCCCTCTCGATGCAGGGTGTTGCGGCAGGGATCGGTACCCCGCGCGGGTCTGTCACACCGTCATAAGGCAAACGGTAGGTACTCTCGAGCCAGATACTACCGGGAACGTAACACAAGGATATAATGCAACCACCAATGGGTCACAGACGTAAAATATTATCCAGGTATATCGACTTTTGACACGTTTCTGACGATCAATCCTACGCATATGCATTACATCATTCTGAAAAAATGGGGACTTAAAACAAGGCACTATTTGTTGGCAGCATAGAACTACATTTAAAACACAAAATATGCATTCTGACCTTCAGTCATGCGGCAATATCACATATACAGCGCAGTGTGTCATCTGTTCATCCAGTCACTCGGATCATTGTCGGCTGACCCGACGCTGTCAATGCGACCATCGGCAAGTCGCTAGGACCGCAGCGATAACCGCTACCTTATCCCACAGTTCTATCCATATCGGCAGAATGACTGACTCACTGAGGCATAACCTACTGTCCAGTGTATGTCCCACGTCACTTGCACTTGTCAGTCATTATGTCACCGAGTGACGCTGTCATATGCATTTGTCACGGTTCATTTGCATCCCCCCCACAGGAGACGCGGCAGGCACAAGGGCCACCAGGAGTTCAATGATTGGTCCGCCTGTGCGTCGGACAGACCATCTTTCCGACCATCTAGCCGAGCGGCGACGTCGGGTGCACCTTCATCGTGCTGGTGACGTAGGAGGTCAGCACGGTGGGGAACACGGTCGTGGACGTGATGTAGGCCGTGGAGGGCGTGGCACGGAAGGTCACCACCACCGCCTGTGAGTGGATTCTGGTGGTGATGGTGCTGTAGGTCACTGGTGACGAGGTGACGATCGTCTGAGGGGTGGCCGGTAGCGCGCCGTGTGGAGCCTGGAGACCTGGGAAGATCGGACCCAGCAGCTGCAGGTAGGCCAGCTGCTGCGGCGTCAGCTGGGACAGCTGTGCGAGAGCTCCTAGCTGTCCCAGCTGTCCCAGGGCGCCCAGCATACCCAATTGCGGTGGGAGGGCCGGGGTGGGTGCCGGAGGAGCCGCAGCCTGCTGCTGCAGCTTGAACTCCTCCGGATTCATCTCGCTCTCATGCCGGTCGACATCGAACAGCCCGATAGCTGCCAGGTCATCGGGCGGCGGGACTCGCACCACAGGCACACCCAGCTCGTCCACTTGATTCTCCGAACCCTGCGCCAGCAGCGGCCTCTCGCGGTGCAGCAGGCCCGGCGGCGCCGTCTGGAACACCTCCATGGGCGGCATGGTCTTCAGCGCCGTCACCAGCCTCGTCACCTGGTAGGACTGGGTCAGAGTGAAGGCGCGCGTGCTGTCACCGATCACCAGTGGGATCACTGACGACTTGAGCAGCAGCTGCGTCGTGCGGTAGGTCTCCGTCATGGTCTTCAGCGGCAGGCTGGGTGAGCTCGGGTCCAGCTGAACGGCCGGCAGCATTACCACCTTGTCCAGCCCGCTGCCACTGCTGGGGGTCAGACCTGCCGCCCCGAACAGACCCAGGGTCGCTCCGGCAGGGAGTGCAGTTGAGGAGACCGGTGGCGCCCTCTGGGTGGCCGTCGGACTGACTCGAACGGTACGAGTCTCTGTGCTCGTCACCCAACGACTGGTGGTGAACCTGCCCAGCGTGTTATGATGCAGCGCCCGCATCGTGCTCAGCTCGTAGTGGAAATCGGTGGCGTCTGTCGGACGGTAGGTGTTGACGGCGACCACCTCCGGCTGTGGGTCTCCTAGCTCCTGATCCGGCTCCTGAAGGAGTTCAGGACTTTCCTCCTGCGTCAGCTCCTCCTCCTCTGCGAGGGACTCCTGACGCTGTTTCAGCAGGCGCTGCTTCAGACGGTCGGCGGCAGATAGACGACGCTGGAGGACACAGGGAAGGCAAGTTAATGGTCATGTGGTTATGAAAACACGTCGGTTGGGTTTTTCATGCATGATCCATGCCGAACGAGCGCACGCTAACCCAAGCAAATCTCCCTGCGATAACGATGTAGTTTCTTGATTCGTGATCTTAGTTTCGTGATTCGTGATCTTAAGTTATTTTACGAGTACATCTATGTATTTCATAGTATCCGCAGCAATAGCCGCACTGCCATAAACATTGAACATTTCATCTGCAATCAATTAATTAGAAGCTGTCCGTTGCTCGTATTTCAGTCGTTTAAAAGTATAGACAGCCCGATAAAAATACCGCTAAAATTTTGATCCATTCATTAACCGGCGTTTCCTATGTCTCTCGTCACCTACCTCGCTCTTGCTGCGGCTCGGTGACCTGCGCGCCGACAGTAGCAGTTCGGGCCGGCCGGGCCGGGCTGCACGCGCCCTCTGTTCGGGTACCAGCGTGAAGGGCCTCCGCTGACCGGCTGCCGACGCGCGGGACGGACGGGACGCCAGCGCCGCCTGCAGACGCGCCTTGAGCCGCTCCTGGAGCGACTGTACCGGCGGCCGGCTGTCCGGCTCACCGGCGGGCTCCTCTGGCTCCGAGGAGGCGAACAGCTGCTCGATGGGGAGCACCTCCGGCTCCGCAGCCGGCGCCGGCAGCTGCGGAAACTCGGTCACCGTGCCCTGGATCACGGAGGAGACGTGGGTGACACCCTCCTCGGTCGGTAGCTCCGTGGGCTCGGGGTCAGAGAACTCCTCCCCGGCCTGGACGGTCCTCAGAGCAGCAACTGTACGCTCAGAGACGGTAGGAGTATCGAGCTCCGGGGTCGGTGTCGGCTCCGGCACCACGCTGGCCGGGGCGGCGGACAGGAACTGACGCTCCAGGGGAGGTGTGGGGAGCAGTGCCGCTGCCGAGCGAGCAATCTGCAGACCGCGCCGCTGAGGCAGCACGAACGGACGACGGTCCTTCGGTGTGCGCTCCCGCAGTTTGGCCCAGAGCAGGTTCTTTCCCTTGCGTCTGCCGATCACTGGCGGCTCGGTGGTGTCGGGTTCAGAGGATGGTGATGGCTCTGTAGTGGTGAAGCGTAGACGGCGCTCGGGTAGCGGCTCAGAGGCGGTGGAGGCGATCGCCGGTACGGTACGTGATGGAGAGGGCGCCACTGACGCCGGCGAGGGCTCGGCCGACTGCGCTCCGGCTGAGGAGCAGACGGGATAATCAAAGTCGACATGAAAATCCCATACTTCTTAAATAGCTTTTTATCGAGCGTTCCACGCAAAACCGTGGTTGACAAGTGAAATGCCAACCAGAAAAACCATAAACATTTGAGCGGGCAGTGTGGGCCTATGTCTGATGAAGAGAACAATGAGAACGAACAAGCAGAGGTGTATAACGCAGAAACATTGGCGAAATACTCCGACCCCTCTGGACCTCACGTCACGTACCTGGCGTCCCGGCGCCGGGCGTGAACACCATGACGGTGTTGCCGACCGTGGTGACGAAGTTGAGGAAGCCGTAGATGGTCTTTGTGGAGAGCTTGACGCCGGACTGCGCCGGCTCGTCGGCAGCCGAGCCGAGCAGCTGCGGCGGCTCTGAGGAGACGGTGAGCTGCTTCCTCTCCAGTACCGGAGTCGCTGTGGAGGCAGGACGGGTCAGACGGCGAAAAGATACCGCCGCATGGTGAAAGAACCACTCAAGGAACCACTTCTCAACCCGGAACATCAAGACGAGACAGGCTGTGAACTGAGCCATCCAGCGTGTTTCAAACAATTGCCTGGTAATACTTTGCTCAGATTACATGCATAAAAATCACCATTCATTCATAGTCGATTGGACATTGCATTGGAGAAGCGCGGCATTGGGACTTTTTTTTGCAAACAACTCACCGCTCACTGCATCTTGGTGTTTCGGTTGTACGACAAAAGTATTTAGCTTCCTCACTGGTTTCGACTCCGGAGCTTCTGGCGGCAGAAAAAAAAAACATTTTGCAATTTGCATGATACGCGTAAGAGTCTCTTAGTGCCGTTTAACCGACTGTCAGACTATGTTCGATGGTATGTATGTGACAAAGCCATTTGCTGCGTGTAATGTGTATGTAATGTGCATGTTAAACTATCTATCGGCGGACAAGGTAGGTTCGTATGAAGGATGGGAACGCAACGAAGCGATCACGGTACGCATACGATATAAGATAGACTCAAGATCATAAAACAGAGGAATGTCCAAAATGATTTTCCAATTGAGGTTCGAGTAGGTCAAGGTGGCCTGTATAATTGTTTTCCGCATTGGAATGACCTATCAGTTTGAGACGGAACGTTCATAAAACGGGCGGGTTTTGATTGAGTTGCATATTGGCCGAGCAAATTGGCTGACCTAACAGCGTTATGTGGTGTGTGCTAACCGCTGGAACTGGGAATAATCCTGCAGGCCTGTAGACTTAGCCGGTCTGCGAGTAATCATGCAAAGTCAGCGGCTGGATTTAATATAGAGTGGCAGGCTTACCGGCTGAGGTTTAATGACAAGATAATCATGATTCCATTATGGGACTAGGATTGAGATACAGATAACGCGGCATGAGCTGAGAAGCTCGGGTGGCTCCGAATTCAGCAGAGGTTGCTCGAAACTGACATTTCTGGAGAAGTGCTACATCACTGCCGCCCCTCCCAGAGCTTACATCAACTGAGGGCCCGCCGGACCGGCACAAAAGCGGTCGGAATCCCACTCGGCCGCGCTTAATTATCACGCAGTGCAGGTAATCGATTCCAGACGGGTTCAGCTGCCCTTGAACCTGAGCGTACTCATTTTCGCATTGCCGCCGAGGAAATCCTGATTCACCGAGCGGCTGGGAGCTGTTCCCATGCCTGCCAGTGTGGCGCGGGAGAGGGCACCGCCAGTGAATTATGCCTCCGACAACGGGAGAAAGTTCCATATGCAGCACTCCAGTTCAAATTACGGCGTCGGCAATTAGTGGAAGTTGGGTGAGCCATTTTCATGACCCCAATCTGGCGTAGGGAGCAGAAGTGACCCGACGTCGCGACCTCTCTTTATCGCCAGAGATAATAAGCATGTCAGTCCTTTGTGAGAGCAGCGAGAAAACGCACCGCTCCTTATAAGGCCTAATGTGAACAAAGCCCACACATCCGGGGCCACCTGAGACGCAGTTATCCCTTTTAGGGCCAGCCTTGTCATTTACTGCCTCAACTGCACACACGCATCTGCCAGGGAGCGTACACGCACCCCGTGGTTGTAACCGGTCCCAGCCGGTTCGTATTACCATTGTGTGCGCCGTTGCAGTCTAATAAAAGATGCGGTTACTGTCTTGTGCGTAATTGCAGTCCCCTTGCTGGGTGCTACTGTTATGTGTACCATTGCAGTCGCCACGATTCGGTGCTAGCCTTTTGTGATCTGCTGCAGTCCCCAGGATGCGGCGATGGCTTCGTGAGTGACCGCGGTACCTCAGTGGACGCGCTAGTTATATGCAGAGTGGCGGCCACAAAGTTTATGCATTTTGCACAGATGTTGAAATTTGTAGCCCGTTTCGCAATGATCTGGCGTATGCTACACCTGTGCAGTCCTCCGAAAGAAGCATAGTGTGATCGAAACCAGTCTTAAGGCGAAGCATTATTCTAAGACATTCCTTGCCCTGTAATGGTTGTTTGCTTTGCAGCAATCTACAAACCGGTCCGATAATATACTCGCCGCCGCAACAGATTTCCGTGATACCGAGCCTCCCACGCACAATGCATTTCCGCAATCCAACCCCACCGCATTGCTACTCGATATCGAGCGGTTGTAGACGGCCTTTAAATATCAATAGCTATAAACTTAAATGTAAAATGCATACATGTTTAACTGACATGTTCCAAACAGTGCTGCTGTGCGTGTGAATGCTCAAAAACCTGCAATATGAGCTCTAAATAAATGACATACAAAATGCAGGGTAAAACAAAATTTTGCATAAAACAAATATGTTGCCATCAAAACCAGGCCATGGATGAGATAATAATGGATTGGTGTCTTCGCAGTTTTTGGCGACATTGAGCTCAGGCCTGCCATCTAGCGGGAGAATTGTCGTAAGTTAGGAGCAAGCCGAGTGAACGCCGCTGATTAGCATTGTGACACACGGGAGTGTGGTGTAGTAGCAGGCTTGTTGTGCAATTTTTTCAAAAGGTTATGTCTTCATATGTCAGTAAAAGTGAAGACATTAATAGATTTATGTGCAGGGTCAGTAATAAGATAAGCAGTTCCATGTTATTTCCTCATTAAATCGTGAAACAGGGAGTTATTGGAGACTTCGCCAGCACGTGTCGTTTTCGCTATTTTTCACATGAGTCTTTACTTGGCCTAAATCGAACAAATTGTCCGATCAAAGAACAAAACGAACGTAAGTAGGTACCTACTATCTATAAGTCTAATGAAAAAGTTAAACGGAATTGCTAACGTCATTACCGCTCAATGTCATTCAAGACGCTCTATGAAAAGGACCCAACCAGCGCTGCGTAGTCGATGAAATTTCAGTGACAATTTGGCTCCAACTCCGATTCCGGTATTCAAATATCGACTCCGACTCATCCGGGCAGAACTGTCGAGTGTCGATTCACACAGACTCCGACTCTGACTCCGACTCTGCAGCCCTGGTAAGTCTGTGGAGTCGATGACTTTTCGGTGACGTTCGACTCATACTCCGACTGGCGACTATAGCTTTTAAAAATCAACCGACTCCAAGACGGAACAGAACCGCTGGCTCTGACTACAACTCCGCAGCCGTGGCCCAAGATAGCCGCCTTAACCCGCGCCCCGCTGGGGGGGGGGCAGAATCTGCCCCCCCCTCCCGTTTTTCGCCAATAACTTCTAAACGCGTTACGCCAGCGACGTCAAACTTTCAGTACCTTATCATACATCAATTTGACACGTTCCCTGAAAATTTGAGCGAAATCCGTCGGAAATTTTTTGAGAAATTGACGTTTTAGTGACGGCATGTTCGCCATTTTCGCCTCAAAAACGGCAAAATTTCAAACGCCGCTAACATCTTCATTTTTAAAGGAATCAAGACGTAACAAAAAAGGTTATACGTGATTCTACTTTGTCTATCAAATGGCTATCTCGGTTTTTTGAAAATTTTGGATTTTGGCCAAAATTTTTCCAAAAAACTGACTTTTTTGGGAAAATATTTATAAAATCCAAAATTTTGAGTTTATCGAAAAAACCGGAATATATGTCAAAGAAGTGGTCTATGTGCACCCACATACCAATTTTTAGAAGAATCGGTTCAAAAATGTGGGAGTTATTCAAAATTTTATGACGTCACGACACACAAAAATTTTGAAAAATGATTTTTTTGGAAGTTCTAGACCTCGTACGGAAACAAAAATAGCACCATTCGATTCGCCGTGAAAAACTGCATCGGATAGACACCTTTTTAGGCCTTAACAACCAACTTCAAAATTTGACCTCACTTGACCTGACCTTGACCTGACCTCGACCTGAAATTCATCCAGAGGTGGTCCATATCACTTATTGAGTGTGCCTATTGAATTCCATGAGTAAAATGACCCATAAAACATGTGTCGCACATGCCCTTTTCTATATTTTGTTTTTGGTGACCTGACCTGACCTGACCTGACCTTGACCTTGACCTTTGAATGACATTGTGTGCAACGAATATTGTCTTGGTAGTCTAAGAACACGTTTTGGGCAATCAGTCTCAGTCCATTCTTCGGCAACTACGGTGCAAGGCCGATACTGTACAAACTTGCATTTTGTACCCTTGACCTGACCTTGACCTGACCTCTGACCTACTTAAGCAAAAAAAATTGAGCTCTTAAGATCCGCCTTGTTGAGAGCTTTCGATTGCCGTTTTCCCCGTCTTTCTACGACCATCGGTTCGGAAGTTAGACAGGGGGGGCAGAATCTGCCCCCCCCCCCCCCCAGCAGGGCGCGTATGGCTGAATAGCCCAGCGGGGCGCGGGTTAAACAATTTTAATGTGTGATCTTCTTCGTACATTGTTTTGTCATTTTAAACAAGGAATGGAAAAGGGAGACGAAGCCTTCACAAACAGGGATCACCTGTTGCAGATCAATCAGTTGCTGGAACAGAAAGGCATAAACACCACGCATCTCGTTTCATCCTTTTCCTAATGACTCTGCACCAATGTAAGCACTGATCAATGCAGTGCGAGCATCGATGTGACATTTGTGTACCAAGTTTGAGTGTTATCCGCCCAGCCGTTCTTGAGATATGGAAGCGGCACCCCGCACGTGCGCACGTGCAGTAGCACCCCCATAGTGACACATGGAAATGCATTGGCCACTGGATGACTAACTATTGACGAAGTTTTACTGTCATGGGCCCAGTCATTGCGGAGTTACTTTATGTGGAACAATTTCGACACCCCTAAGTTGGCACGTGGCACGTGCTGTAACATTAACTAAGATGAAGAAAATCGGGCGAAATTCGGAGAAGAAGGAATAAGCCTACCAAATATGCATGACATATTGTCAAACTGCTGTACCATTGTGAGTAAATGACCATATAAAAGGTCGTACAAGCCGATGGGACTGGGCGTTTCAATACACACCGTCTTACGCATTTTATTTTCGTTATTACCTAAAAGCTGCTTGACGTTTTTGGCTTTCAAGCATTTAATACATTTTTTGTCGTCTCAGGTCCAGTAAGATTACCCCCAACTCGTGGGAATATGCAATTCAAGCCAACTAACACACCACACCCACGTGTGTCATAATGCTGAGAGATGGCGTTCACTCGGCTTGCTCCTAACTTACGATAATTTTCTCGCTAGATGGCAGGCCTGATCCCAATGTCGCGGATCCCAATGTTAATTTCCACGAGACACCAATCCAGTGTTATATCATCCATGACCAGGCTCAGTTGGTTTCAATTAGAACCCATTTCGATATAGGGATCGTGACGTCACTGCAATAGGTGCAGTATCGCATGTTGGTTTCTGTCTGAGGTTCCGTGGGGCAAATTAGTGTGGGTATACTTTGATGGTCATATCAATCACAATTAACTTATGCATCCGACGATACTGTAGGAATGCCTTCCTTATGCTAAATGTTAATTTCCGGTCCAATAAAGCAGACATTCATTCAGTGCTTTAAAATACCTAGCAAAATGCTTTGTCAGATAACAAACTACCAGTCTCTTGCAAGGCAAACATTACTCGTGCCAAACGATCAGTTGTCATCCGATTGCGCAATACCAATCCACTGATATAATCCGATGGTGCAATGTGCAAGCGTGACGTTCCGCACATATAGCCACGCTCCTTTACGCTGACTGATTTTTACGGCCATCGGTTCCTGCACTTCCGCCAGCTCGGGGCAATCCAGCCGGGTGCGTTTGGACGCCGAAACGCCCACAATGGGTTGGGTACGACCGTGGCCCTTCACACTTTACCCAGGCGGATGTGCGAGATCCTGACCGTCTAAAAATCGGAAACAGCATCTCATAAACAGAGGTTGCATGAGAGAATAGCCGCGAGCGGCAGTGACCTTTCCTGCCGGGACTCTCGTAAATACCAATCAAAGGCGGAGGATGTCAGGGCGACGGTAAAATAACTGACATGCTCGCTGGCCGGACCATGGTCTCGGTGATCCGTGACCACCCTGCGACCTCTCGCAGAGGTCACTGGTGTCCGCGCGCCGCCAGTGCCGCTCTGAGGCTCTGCCGACACGCAAACAGAACTGCGAAGCTCGGCAGCGCGCACACAAACACATTCCGTGCGCCCGAGTCCTGGCCCACAGACTCGCTCTGTTTACGGGGCTGGCATAGTGCACACCACATAATCCAAGTGTTTGCCCGGGCGGGAGGCACCATTGTGGAAAAACATCTCACTTTATTCCAGGCACACTCAGCAGGCATAGCGGCAATCACTTGCAAAACGCGGATAGACGGGGATAGCACGAGATTCCTCGGGAATGAAAATGACGGGAGCACTCGACCGTCGCTGATATTTCCATTTTCAGTAGATCCGTCCGTTGAACTTACCAGGCAGAGTTTGCAGAAAAACAAAAAGTATGCATCACATCGCTTCGTGACAGTGTTTTTGTTTGGCCCTCTCTCAGATACGAATCTTCGCTTTGAATTCCCGACTTCCTTTGCATTGAATGACGCATTTTGAATGAAGTATTTACATATCATTGCCTTTTGTCAACAGTTTAAATCGCTATTAGCGTGGCCTGGTCCCAGCAAAGAGCTCTCTTTGACATGAATACGCACTAGTCACTAGGACGATGTCTGATTTTAAAAGGACATAAATGTAGTCTTTGTTTCAACACAGAAAGGGGTGCACCTGAGACAACACTTAAACACTCCCACTGAAAACAGGTTAATCATCGCCACCATCCTAAAGCTCTGATGTCATCAGAATGTAATGAAAATGCCCGCGACATCATTCAGACACTTTACCGTTTTACTTCACCCAGAGGTGCCCCGCCCAAGCCAGGGGTTATTTCCTCAAGTCCATCGAACCCAGCTCGTCTGTCTCCGCCAGTTGCGACCGGTCATTGTTCGCCCAGCTCCGGGACATTCCTACAGGCCACAGTCATTCTTGGAGCACCCGAGGTCCCGTCGTGCCTAGCGGATATACCAGCCGCACGACCCGCGCCTGTCCCAGGGATCAACAGGGCATGAGGCTCCATCAGTGTCGCCTGCGCCAAACAACCGAGCGCGATCCGCTCTATAAAGTGTTTTACAGATGTCGTGTCACGCTTCCTCGGCAGGTATCCCGACTATCGCATCGATGAGAGATTACTCAGAAAATCCGTCGGGGAAGGATGATGATGGCCTGTTGTCGGCACGGGCGACGATTAGGGTGTTAGCGAGACAGGCACTGCGGGCCAACAATGCATCAACACCATCCGGTGGCATGCTTGACCTCTCGCGGCGCCCCTGACAGACGGCGAACTCGGGGAAGGGCCGCCGCTGCAGCTGTGTGGATGGTATGCGGCAAATCTGACGAGGCACGCCGCTTCGGCCAGCGCAATACGTCCAATGCTCCTGAGGGGAGACTTCTACGATAGATCGCGCAGAGACACAGCATGATAGATGCCAGTATGAAGACAAGATATCGATCTGCGGTGCCCGCTTGATCTTCAAAAGCGCGCTGTGTTCAAGCAGGCTGGTTGACAGGACATGCACGTATGCTCGTGAGAAGACGGCTAGGTTGATAACGTATTCATGCACATCCTTTCGTGAGAAGAGGGACAAGCTGGTACGTCCCGGCACGTCCTGTCTCGGCCAGCCGCCGCACTGTGGCCAATTTCCGCGGTGGGACGGACGGCTGAATGGAAACCGAACACCGCCGGCTCTCGGGTGATGTAACAGCACCACGTGAGCGGGGAGCCGCCGGGTGTGTCACGGGGAACGGGAACTGACCGGTCCGTGACTGCAGCGGGCGGGGCGACATCGCGCTCCGGCGACAGGTTACCGCATTAACCGGTGACGCATGGACAAATCTCATTGTCAATGTCAGTGGATCTCCTGCATTGCTGAGGTACCCTTTGTCTGCAAACTATGCTGATCTTACAGATATATCCTTTGTCTTATATAAAATAGCGTGATAATTTTTTGCATTCACATGATAAGCATGAATTGTTGAATAATGGAAATTCAGAACTTCAACAAAGAACAATATCGATGAAATATGCATAGCATTGAAGAAAAACCACACATTTCAGGACTAACAAAGGGGAAAGCAAACATTGAGAAGATCGTAAGCCAGCATTACCACGGTCATCAGATTCTTTCCGTCAGTGAAAGGCGTCCGTTTAGACTGCACCTGTTACCACCTGGGCCGGAGTTTGTCTGACAGCCTGACGGCCACCAAACTCACCTAATTTCTCCCCGGAGACGCAGACAGCCAGCGCCACCATCAGCGCTGGCAGCACCAGCATTCTCCTCATCCTGAAACACAAACAGAGAACCGCTACCGGAAGGAAAACAACACTGCAGGGAGGCGGGCACCGTTCTAATGCCGCGTGCGGCCCACACATCAACAGGAATAAATCCCTCCAAAATAATTGCAGGGTTTAAAATTAAAGCCCAGCTACCACACGCCAGAACTATCGACGAGGCAAGGCAAAGCACTACCATTTAAACTCAACGAGAGTAATTCGATGTTATCTATGTAATGAACGACCATTTCCGAAATCCTTTGCGTAACACTGTCTTCCGTGAAGCTCTGTGAAAGAGACTTTAGCTGACTTCACCGACCGGTCAGATGACCCACGATAACCGAGACCTGGGTCATTCCATACGACACTCTGGGCCTGCCTTGCGCCTCTCGACAATAGCGGTGAGAGTCACGATCCTGGCTCATATTACGGCCCGTATTACGGTCCGTATTACGGCCGATCGCCGCCGTCTGGGCGCTGCGTGCGTCTTCGGCCGCCTCCACTTTCGATTTCGCCGGGGTGGAGGAGGAGAGGGCGGTATCACGGTGAGCGTCTGCTGCTGAGAGGGCCGGAGAGGCACGCCCGGGGGATAATGACGCGGACCCACACTCACGGATCCTGCAGCTGGCGGGGGAAGGTACGAGGAGCTTCTTCACTTCCTGGTAACACCCAGTCACTGCATATGGTGCGTGGAACTGCGTCGAGATTCCCCGTCATCTCCCACGCAGATATTGATTTCCTTCCACACCCTTTATCTGAACGTTTAGGCTAGGTTCGATCTCTTCCTGCAACGCCCGATCACTCAGCACTTTGGTCCCCTTATTCAACCCCCCCCCCCCCCAGCAACCAATCCCCTAGGTATCTGTAAAGCGAACAAGAGTCGGGAAACGCTGCGAACCTCTTCACCAATCTCTCTCTCGAATCCCGACCGCAAGACGTTTCTGCTGGACTGCTCTCCACACGCGTCTATCAGCTGTCCGAAATCGCCCGGGTTGCGTAAGCGGAGACTGCGACGCAGCCATCGAAAACTATCACCGGCGGCTGCAATCTCACGTGCCCGTTCCGTGCCCCGTTCCCGTTCCGTGTCGCAGCGGGTGATGGGACCACTCTGCCTCCGTTGGTGGCCCGATGGCGACACATGTCATACACAGTGCACGACATCCGCGCGCTCTCCGCAGGCCGGGTCATGCGTCGGACAGATTAGCTCTCGCCACACACAGCTGACGGGTGATTAGGCGACGACTTGGGACACGAGAACGTTTCGAGATGTGACCTGACTGGAGGCAGGGCAACTCTCAGGACACACCGTCCAGTCCAGAGAGCGAGAGGGACCGATAGACAGCCGCCCGTCGCTTTCGCCGCGGTCGCGCCGCTTTTCGAGCCCCTCCGCGTCAGGTGGTGGCGGACAGACTGTGGAGCAGCTGATCGAGCAGAGGTGCTCTCGATGGGGCGTCACACGGTCGGTCGGTCGAAGTGAAAAGGCGTGACGAGAGCAGCCCGCGCGCGGATGGCAGCCAGATGACGGAACGATTGGCGGAGCTTTGTTGCAACAGTGGACGCTTGTCGGATGTTGGCTAAGCGATATTGTTCGCGATTTTGTGATGATAGACAGCAAAGTAAACAGAAAAGGATGTCTTTTACGATACGCTATTATATTTTTGTTCATTTTCAGCATAACTCTTGAAAAACCACCACTTCAGAATTGCCGGGGCTATTCTCCTATTTGTCGCAGAAACGAACAGTCGAATAAATGCTTACCGATCAACAGAACACTTGAAACGTCCAGCGCTGAATTTCGAGTAGAAAATCTATCCCTTTCCAGCCTGTTTTGCAGCTCAATTTCAGCAACGTTCTGCATATCTGCCTATCCGACACGTCCAACACTTGACTGGTTTCCCAGTAGTCCTCGCACCTTTTCTGCGGTGAACTGCAAATGGAATCATCATGCATGCACCCGTTACTTGTCACCTTCGCATCGTGGAGCAGCGGGGAAATTTCGCATACATATAGTGGTTACTTTAAAAACACTTGTGATTTGACAGGTAGTTTTAACCAAGCAAATGATAAATGGTAAAAATATATCAATTACATAACATTTCGATCACTTGTGATTGTGAATAGTATTTTCCTCGGAGCACTGGAAAAATAACGTCCAAAAGAAAAACATCAGAGTCCTCTTCAAAAATTGTCAAAACAAGCTGATGTCACACATTTTATAACGAAACTTTAGAATAGATCTTGAATGTTGGGAAAATAGAACTTGATTTTACATTACACTGATGCAGATATAATTGTTTTACGCTATGTTTCCCCGGTTTACTATATAAAATCTGTATTAACCACACCTCTTTACAACCATGCCTATCGCATTGGCATACCTATTAATTAGTAGGTACAATGAGAAATTCATGTGCCTACAAAAGAAAAAAAAACTGAGCCGATCCAAATGACTTCGAAAACTTGTATCGTTAGAACTATTGTTTTAAGAAGTGCAAAACGTTGTGCGTAAGCATTAAACAAATTTTAACTATGCAAGAAAGCATATACCTATTTGCTCACGGTATGGTATGCAGTTTCCTTCAAACGACTCATATTCTTTGACGACCATTATCAGCCCTCAGACCATCAAATGGATGCGGAAACGGGAAGAGTCCCGTGGGCCTAACCTAACCTTTAAACAATACTATCGGTGTCCGTTGTTCCCATCGCTGAACCACACCAAGGTGCTGGGATGCGTTCCGGCTCCCACAGTTACTGTGCGGTCGGCCACTGCTTCGGGCTAAAGGTAAACAAGAGAGAAAGTGAACCGTTTTCGCTCTCGGTGAGGAGGAACTCGGGTGGGATCCACTTCCGCTCGAGCCCCGGTGACCCGTTACCCGTCATTAGTCACCTCAGAGAGAGTCGCCAAAGTGTGATCGCACACTCTTAGGCAAAGTTCCGGCGTCAGATGACAGAGTCAAAGAGCCGCTCAAATATACAGCACGGTAGAGTATAAAACGCAGAGGCAGCTTCACGGTCTTACGCAAGGAACCAAGTGATTAATCAGACGATAATCGGTTCCAGACACTATTCTCGTCTTTCACCAGAGACGGTGATATAATATGTTACGTCACTTAGAATTATCCGACTGTGATGCAAGGATTCATCTCCGATATCAACACTAAATACTAAAAGATCACAAACGCATGGAAGGCAAAAATAAATGCTTAAAAATGAGACAAAACAACATGTTAGAAACCTCGGAGGCCCATAAATATGCATAACCACTGCCGTAAATAAAACCAAATGCGTAGGAAAAAAATGTTCTATCATTTGAAAATTGGAGACTAGCAGCCCAAAGTTTTTAAACATTTCGCTTCGATTCAAAAATTGCATTTTTCAACATCCTCTGTTCCGTACCGGGATAAGCCCCAAATATCAACACAAACATACCCTCAACAGCAGAGTGAGCTGCTTGGTTCTCACCTGTTTGCCGTTCGCTGTGTCGGCAGTGCAGATCGGACCTGGACCGGGCTGTTCCGGCTGCAGGGGCGGTGGGACCGGTACCCGGTGCAGAGGGGTGCTGTCAGAGAGGGCGCCGTCGGTCGGTCCTCGCTGCTGCGGCGCCGGAGACTCACTGGCGCGGCCGCGGGCGCCGGCAAGAAGTGAAACCGTGGCCTGGGCGGCGGCGGCTGCGGAGCTATGGCGGTACGACCCTGCACCCACCGCCGGCGGACACGTGGTCACACACATCGGCGGTCAAGACCACGGCTCCGAGCCATTATCCCAGGGCGAGCCGAGCTGACTGACCTTCGAGACTCCGCGCAACGCACGCACACACCCCATGTACCGGCACGCATCTGAGCGCATACGCCCACACACCTTCTGCAAAAGTTAATGGGTAATCAATTTGCGCGGAGCCCTGGTGAGGTGGCGTTTATACCGGTACGATATTGCGCCAGAGGGTCCGGTGATGAAGAGCAGAGCACAGGAATTTCTCCAACGTATGACTAATCTTACGCTGTTCACTTATGCAGCAGGTCAAATTGATCCAGTGGGTGCAGGAATGACATTGAACATTGAATACTTCATTAAAAAAAGCGGTGCAAAATGTAGGCACTAGGAACAGTCATTTATGTTCTTTTTGTTCTAGTTTAAGTTTTACTTTCATCTTCTCATATGCTCGTTAGTCGAAGGTGACCCTGCGACAGATTTGCATCAGAAGCGCATAATTCATACGCGGAGTAGGAGCGAAAAATGTGGAATATGCACAAGCCCGAGCCTGCGCATTGCATAAACAGCTTTTTAGATTTGGAAAAACGGCATGGCAAATAAGGGAACAAAAACAGTGAAGAGGATGTTGAGCGTCACATGCAAATAAACACTCGGCATAATCATACAGATCAGAAGAGTCTTCAAAATATTAGCTGACACTTGCAAAAACAAGGCTGCGTTCTCGCAGAGGTAGCGTGAAAGGCTCACTTAACAAATGGGGAGAGTTTCACAGTTTATTTCAAACCACGATGAAAGGCCGCATGATCGCATTAAGAGAATCGCCCTGTGTACGAGCAGATAGGGTACCATTCCATAAACTTAACCACTTCCTACTCGGATTGTCTTCTTGCTGTCAACCACGAGACATAACCAGACAATGTAAGAAGTTCACATCACTTATGCAGTTCCCACAAACATCTTCAACGGAAGTCCAGCAGGCACCGAAAGCGAGAGCGTTTCTCGCTAATCGTCTGTTGTGTGTACACCGAAATAGACCGTGAAGACATTGGAGGCCGAAAACAAGGAAGTCGTCAGGGCGACACAACAGAATCGGAAAGTGAACGCGCGCTTTATGCAAAGCGACTGTTGGTCTCTGTGAACCAGATTATGTAGGCATGCACTAGGCAATGGTATGAATAATCGGAAACACGGATAGTTTACCTGACAAGGAATGGCACAGATCAGAATGAACAAGGAATGAGCGGAATGAAGACAAAAGAGGAATCTTTTTATCTACAAATCAAGGTATTATCGGGAAGGCCGAACTTCGAGACAACTATGTTGAAAAACGTGAATAGTCTAGCTTTAGAGAACTACATTTTTTGTTCCGAGGCCAGTTTTACAAACAGAAAAATAGCCGCCTGCCGGATTTTTTTTTTTTTTGACTAAAGAATAAAGACCGCTTCACATACGGAGTAAACGGCAAAGCCCTACTCGCTTACGTGCCCATCGCGTTAACGCTCCGTATGTGAAGCGGTCTTTAGGCAAAAAATTCCGGCAACCGGCTATCTTTCTGTTGGTAAAACTGGCTTCTGCAGTGCAACTCACCCGTCTGTTGACATCTTTAAGCCTTTTCGTCGCAATAGCAGGTCATATACATATTCAGCGCCTTCATCAGATAGGTATATTTTGTGAGTCATCCACAGCTATGGTGAGTGGATGTAGCTTTTTGAACTGTTAATAATAAAGATCATGCAGGTAAAAAACGGTATTTTGGTCGTTTGATCACACTGGCTATTATTCGTTGCAACGGTCACACGCATGATGATGACAGCGACTAACGCAGACATTTCATTCCGCAGACTGTGACATAAGACAATGTCTAGAACTAGCCTCAGCACACCCAGTTCGTATCTCAATGCTATGAACACCATGATTCAGTCAGCACGAGCGTATAAACCAGCTCAGCCACGTCCGTCGCTCTGCGGTTTTGTACAATTGCCCGGCCTTTCTCACAGGCTATCACGCGAATGCGGACAGGCCTGCACGACTGGGGGCACGGCTAGAACACTTTTTGTTCAACGAAATATGGGGTATAGCTCAGGTTTGTCCTGTTTGTTCAATACTTTCACTATTGTGCTCGACAGAGTGAGTCACCTTTTGACTATTCGGTACCACAGCTACACACTTTTTATCCATTTTTACTTAATAAAATGGCTAACTCTGCAGCATTTTATTAAAAAAGATAACAGCCAACAACAGGTGCACGCAATTCATCTTTGCTGACATCGATGTCATCGTAATCTTCACCGCGTAAGAAGGTTCTGCGACACCTGAGCGAGCGTCATTTCAGCGAACGACATTTGAGCGAAGCCTTTTCAGCGATTATCAATTTAAGCGATTGACTCTTTCAGCGATTGTCAAGTCGGCGAATTCAATCACAGCGATTATCAACTTAAGCGAGGACCAGAATCAGCGAAACCAGATTGAGCGAATATGTGGAGGTCAATGGGGGACCAATTGAGCGAAGAGTTACAGCGAAACCGAACGCGACGGAAGTCAATCATTTGCTACTTTTCGGAAATTCTTGCCCCTTGGAATACCCGCTTGGTATGTGTCATGCTTCAAGCTGCGCGCGGCAAATTAAAAATTTGCTTTTAAGAATGGAAACCACAAAAATATCTGGCCTCATTCTGCAACCTTGATCTGGAAATGTGGAACGTGATAGGACGATGGAAGGAATGCCAAGGACCAATAATAAACTCGAGGGACGGCACAGGGGGATCTAGTCTATGTTTCAGGGACCTCACCCAAATATCTGGAAATTCGTACGTTGCTTGGGGCAAGAACAAATTGTACAACATGGGGAACTGATCCAAATTCAAGCGGGGGAATTTCGCGAAAAACAGCACAAGCAATATGAATCTCTGAACATACGTTTGGTCATCATTTTTGGCAAACAGCAGGGGCGGGGGGGGGGGGGTGAAATCGAACCGCTGGAATTTTTTAGAAATGTGGCATTAAATTTGGAGCTTAATGTCTGAACTTTGAACGTGACATTCCGCCATCCAGTTCCGGATAACCATGAAAGTTCCGGAAACATTCGTTGTACGTACGTTCGCAAAATAAAAAAAATAAAAAAATACACCGTTACGGGACGATGAAGTGTTTCGCTGAAATGACAGTCGCTCAAACTGTAGTCGACGAAAAAGATGTCGCTGAAACATAGCTTTTGCTTAAATTGGTAATCGCTATATTTGATAATCGCTCAATTTGATATTCGCTAAGCTGCCAGTCGCTGAAAATGGTTCGCTCAAATGACGTTCGCTCAAATGACACTCGCTAAAGTCGCTCGCACCGCGCGTAAGAAGCGTTAATGACATGTCCCTTGATTAAATGCCAATAAGAGCGATTTTATACGTTCAACAGAACTAGGACCGCCGGACAATTTTGCTTTAACTGACTAACAAAGATCCGGAAGCTTTGCCGATCGTTGACAAGTAATCTAACCCCCGAACTATGAATTGCTTTCTTGACAGCAGTCAAGGGAGTGTCCCTGCGGCTTTCCTAACGACGCCACTGTCCTGACAGCATCTGCGACGTCTGTCGGGTTCAAAGCCGGATCATTAGACAGCCGACCCGCCGGGGGACCTTCCTTTGACCCCTGGATGTCCATACGATTACATAGTCACCCAATCGACCCTCGAACCCGCCCTGACGCGGCGCGGATTATGCCCGCAAAGAATGCGCCTGAGAATGTGGTCTATTGTTTTCCTGATGGCTGTATCGATATTCTGCAGCCACACAAAGTGAATCTGACGTGTAATCGGTGCTAAATTGACAATAACAATAATTTTTGACATTTGTTATCTCGTATCGCTACAGCGTTTTTAATCGACGCGGCAGTGAGCCCCCCACGGAGGATTCGTTAGGTCAGCGATGGGAGCGCCGGTCAACTCATCTTCAGCGTCGGTCATCGCCTGCCGGACGCATGACGTCATCAATTGGTCATCAGACCCCCCTTGCCCCCCTCCCCCCGGTATGCGCCGGCCACCCGCCCCCGTCAGATGAGATCCCAGGCAGTGGCCATCAGCACTGGGCGGCGGCCATCACTGTGACGTCAGAGACTCACCCCTGCCGAACTATTGTGCGGTGTAAATGCATTCTAGTCAATTGATCGCTGATTTGTACACAATGACCCCTCCTTGACTTCATGAGTCGACAGTGCTTAAACCGGATCTCGACATAGCTAAGCTATGCTCGATCAAAAGCAAACAAATTCCACGATACACTTCCGACTTGGTACGCGATTCAGACGACACCAAGCCGGCACGAGAAGAAAACAACAATCGAACGGGCATCTGCGCAGTCATGGACCCTTACCGGCCGAGATAAACGCACTCGAGTGACTCTCCTCCTGCTCTACTTGCTACGAATAGCTTCGTGACCGCAAGTGGCACCTGACAGTGACACGGGTCACTGTGTGTTTCACGGCTCAGTCTCCATGCCATGTCGTGGGCCCATTCGCCCCCCGTCCCTCCCCCTCCCGCTGCCGCCGGCGTGAGTATCTGGTGCAGAGTTATAATAAACGGTCCGGCGGGACCCGGGTTGTGCAACATTGGCGGCATACCTTCCTGCCACCGACACCGGGCCGCTTATTCAGCCAGCTGCGATGAATGGAGTCCGCTTATCGCCGGACGCAGGCGACAACTGGGGCGGGGTGAGGGGCGGAGTCGGGAGGGGGCTTCGGGAGGGGGGGGGGGGCGAAGGGGCCAAGTCGCAGTGAACCCGCGGACCAGGGCACGGATAATTGGGCTAGGGTGATAACAGACAGCCCTGGGCTCGCTGGACTGGTGTGAGGCAGGGGTCGTCAGTCCGGCTGGGTCACCAAATTGGCAGGAGGGGAGAACAGAAAAGAATCCTGCTTAGTGCTTAGCCGCTCTGCTGGGGACAGGTCGACCCTAAACTGGGACGATGTGCTAGTTAGAGGTGTAATTGCGGCTGGGGAGAGGGGTGACGATGCTAAGTACAGTCTCATCAGGGCAAAGTACTGGGGAATAACGGTACCGCAGTTTGGAGCCCACCTCGAGGTGGGCCCACTACCAGGGGGAAAATCGGGGAGGCTGCATTTCCGACACAATGCCTGTCGGTACATATTCCTTAACTTCGACCATCTTAAAGCACGAATATTA